CTAACTTTTAGTAAAGGAAACCTATAAAAATGATATTCTTATAGATCGTCTACCCGGAGGATAAAAAGGCATACTAAAAGGTACAAACGTCAAATGGGAGAATTAACCCTGGTTATGTTAAAGGTACATACATATGTATATCATCAGTAAGAATAGGATAATATAGGAATATACTCGTAGACATGTCCACCTATCCGTTCGTTCATTCATCGTCCCGTTCGACTGTATGAACTGCGAGAGCACTTTATTTATAATAGCAAGGCACACTTAACTTGGTATGAAGACTTGTGTGTGTTACATACATTTCCTAGTATACCCTTTTACCCTTAGGGTACAGGGTATAAATCGAAATTTTCTTAATTGCTTAAAAACTTAATGAACCATTCTCATAGCAACTATACGCTGCGCTTTCAACATTTTGTATACTTTGCAACACTGTTATTCTGTTATAACAGAACCCGTCTTTTAAATTTAAGAAATTTCAATGTGATTGGTTTACGAAAGTCTTATTGATACTTTCAAACACTCTTCTATACTATTCAGACACTGCTTAAATTTTAATTGAATTGAATTCTGGCCATAGATTAACTTGATAGGGTGGCCAATATTCTGAGAGGTAAAGGAATAAATTGTGAAAAGTATTTCCAATTTGTCGGATGGCCGTAGAAAGCCAATCAACGGTCGCATTGTGGCGCAAAACGCGTAATCGGATCAAATTTTATATACTATATTTGTATATTTATTTATGAACATATATTTAAAAAAAAGACGCGGCAGCGTTAACACCAATAGCAACAATAGCAGCAACAGCAACAACAACAAGAAAACAAGAGTTAAAAAAAAAAAACCGCGCACAAATAAATGAACTGCAAAATTCAGGTTCAAGGCCAAATGGCAACTGTTTGCCAGCATTTTGGCGTTTCGACATACAAACAAACACACAAACACCATGAACAATGTATTCGAATGAATAAATACACACACATAGTACACACTTATAGTACATAAATATGACGAGGTATTATTAATCATTTTTATGCAGCACGGCGGTGCCATAAAAACGACTCCGACATCGTAACGAGCGATAAGCTACTGCTCCACAGTTTATTTATCCCGCCTTTAACTGAAGATCATTTACATATACACACATATATAGGATAAAAACACATACTATCTGTAGTATACTGGGTTGAGGAGAACGCTAGCCCTGACGAGCAGAACTTTGAGTACGCTTAAGAAGCAAATTTGAAGCGATTTGTTCTATCGCGAAATATTTAGTACCGCTTAGTACGGTTTCGTTTTTGTTTTTGTTTTAAATCTTGCTTTTTAAATAAAAGATTGTTTTTGAAAAAAATGGAACTGTTAGTTCAAATTATGTTTGTACCCGTAGGAAGTGTAATATTTGTAAGCATTGTAATTCGGAGATTTAAGAATTTGCCACTGATAGACATTTATGTGGAAATGTGTGCCTCACTCTATGCTCATGACCAGAGGGAAGGGCTTAACGAAGCCTGAAGAAATACGAGCATTCAGTTTTGTGCTTTATATAATATTCTAAGTGTGTGAGTGTGTTTGGTAATGTAGACGTGCTTGCATATTTCCGCTCCAAATTTTCAGTTGTTATTCAAGTGTGTTATTTGATTACAAAAATATAAAAAAAGGCAGACCTTAAATTATTGCTTCGTTCTCTGAAATGCTTTTTTAAGCACCACACCCCCTCCCGTTGATTAGGGCGACTTCACGCGAATTAATAAACACAAAGACATTTTCTGAGAAAATGCGATCAATCTAGAATACCATCTCTTCATCTGCATTTGTTTTTCAAAGCCGTCTTGCGATCAGTTAAGAATTACATTGTGACCTATCATTGCTGTTATCAGTAACAGCTCTATTATCAATTCAAATATACTTACAGTCCTGGTATCATTAACAGCTCTGTTATCAATTCAAATATACAGAGCGCAACAACTTCTACCATCTGAGCTTAATGCACGCGCTCAGCTGAAACGCGAATGTTGTGAGTATTTGTATTTAAAATAGTGATAAAAGCTTTTTGTGTAGGTATGACAAGTGTGTATGCATGTAGTATGTATGTACAAGTATGTATGTACGTGTGAAGCAGCAGCTTCATAATCATCATCCGGCGGAAATGCAGCAGAGGCCGGGCCGCAGCACAATTGCTGCATGATTAATTAGCAAAGCATAGAAAAGTGATTTGAAAGGCAACAGCAACAACCACAGGAAACATATCGCATGGGTTGGGCGTACACACATACCGGCATATGAACTATGTACATACATATGTTTGTATTAGAAGACTCCATTTTTGAACTATTATTTTGTAATTGATTAACAATAAGAAGGTATTATGAAGAGAACTCTTCTTAGAGCTATTGCCAGACGTGTGAATAGTTTGTAGATAAATTGTTTCAACTTTACAATGATGTGTATGTTATTTTCAGATTACAAGCAATAAAAAAGTGTCCTCCTACTTCAAATCTGTTTGACGAATTTTTATGTGCATATGTACATACATATGTGCATTTGTACATACATATGTGCATATGTACATACATATGTGCATATGTACATACATATGTGCATATGTACATACATATGTATATACGCCACTTCATTGACTGTCGGACCATACCATATCTTGAGTAAGCCCAAGACGATGGAAGTGCTTCTTTTGCGATTAAAAAAAACTTGGCTGCACATCCCACCCACCCCATGGCACCAATTCCATTTATTGCTGATAATCAAAGTATCCGCTGCGACGATGGACCGATTGAAATAAACAAGTTAACGAAATGAATCATTCACTAATTTCGCCACAAGGGGCAAGCAAACTTAAGCGATCAAGAATAAGCAAGCAGCAGACTACAAACACATACGTACATACATACATATTTATATTGTTGAAGTTTATTACGAACGATGACGTCAGCAGAGCTGCGAAATTGGGGATTGCCCTTAAAATGTGTAACAGTAAATCGTTAATACGCATACATAAATACATACACTCTCTCGTGCATATTGTACATACATATGTAGGAAAGATGATAACGCGTTTAGTTTGGGGAGAGCGACGTGAGAGGGGAACGCTTTGGAAATGAAACACAACTTTATGCATTCACGCGTGTAAAAACCAGTTAGATTGAGCGTGAAGCAGAAGAAGAAGAACAACAACAACAGGTGCATGCATTGAGCAAAGTGCGTGCCAATGCCACAATACATACTATATATGTATGTACATAAATTCGTATGTAGATAACGGTACAAAGGGAAAACATACAGAAAACAAAATGTTCGAACATCGCGTATGACAGCACTAAGAAAATTTGGATGTTTTGGATTTTTAAGTATATTTATCGGTTTTTTTCTCACGAGTTAACTCGTAAGTTTGTTTGCAGCTTTGAATGAGGAAAGTCTTTATTGGTTCTAAAAATATGCGCCGTGGCTATTAAACATTTGCTTAAATGTGGCAACATTGTGTTAGCGTTTTAGTTTGTGTTTCCTTTAGTCAGTTAACAGCTTTACTGCTAAACTAAACAGTAGACATTTAGCTGTGTATATGCATTTGTGTGCGTGTGCGAGTGTCCTTGTCAAAGCGCAAACAACATGACCCAAATTTTGTTGCTTTTATGACTAAGCACACAGCTGGTCGGTCATTGGGTTGGTAGCAACAACAGTAACGGCGGACTGACCCTGTACCCACACTAACACCCGAATAGGCATAGGCATGAGCACGATTTGTTAAAAAAATAAGCCCCAAAAAGGTGTCCGCGCAACAATATCAGTCAGATGCGTGGCAAGCACTTAAATATATATTTTGCATTTACATTGTACATATTTTTGTATGTATGTATGTATGTATACTATACATGTTTTAAACTTATTGATTTTAATGGCCATTAAACGTTACGTATTTTGTGAAGCGTGGGCCGCTCGCTCGCCACAGTTGAGCAACATTTTGGCACTGCAACAGACAGGCAGGAACATGTGTCAGCAACATGCGCGCACACACACACACAAGAATAATAAAAAAAAAACAAAGCAGGATGAGACGATGACGATGACATCAGCTGCAGTTATTACACCACTAACACCCTCCAAGGCACCACAACACTCATACCTTAGTTCCACTTCTATCCAGCGAGAGACGCGGCTGTGCCATAACTACACCCATACATACACTCTATATATAAGTATAAGAATGTACGAATATATGTATGTATCTATGTATGTATGCAAGCAAGCAGCCTGTCAAACTTTTGTCAGCTGTCAGTTGCAAAATGCTAACTAGAATTTCTTCTTCATCGTCCGTTTCTTCAACTAAAAAAGTGCAAACGCAATACGGTGAGTAGTAAGCGTGAAAGAGTAAAGCGTAAGCAGAGACATTTAATGTACATACGTCATCAAGTAATCCAGCTGTAAGACCGCAAGACAGTGGTTCTCAAGCCACATTTTTTTCTACATACATACATTTATAAACACGTTTCAAATTGTATATTGGTTTGTAGTTTGGCTACATTCAAATTATCGGTATCATATTTAATGTTTCATTGTTTATTGTTTACTATAAGCATTGAGATACAAGTTAAATGATTCGACTACCCCAAAACATAATTAAGAAATTTTTGGATTTTACAGATACATATGTGGTTGTATTTGTTTTTGAATTGCGAATTTCAATCCTCAATAGAGCTTGAATTAGAATTTCATTCATTTGATTGGCAATGAATGGAATTTGGGACCACTGTTAACCGGTTTGCTTACAAACCATGACTAAATTCAATGTAACGATCTAAAGAGAACACAGAAAGAGAGACAGAGGGGAGAGCAAGAGACCGGCAACTGCAGCCGGCGGCAATCGTTTACAGTGCGTCATCAAGTTAACAGCAGTGAGTAAGCAGTTAACATCGCCATTATCAATACAACAACAATTTTGCAATAGCAGTTGATCCTAGGTTCATCGATAACAGATGTTTACTCACCTCTTAATAGTCCTTAATTAGTTTTTTTTTTTGCTGGAAATCTCGACAAAGGAGTCTGAAAGTAAATCAAGAACGATAGAATAAGAAAAATTATATATGCACTCATAAATATATAAATGTATTTGGATATAAAATTATATGTACAAATTATACAAATGTTTTGTAAGCGTTGATTATGTACATTAAATAATTCGTTCTTTTAAGTTTGTTAATTCAACTTTAATTTTCTCACACTAGCATTTCAGCGTTCATTCTCTGAAGTGGAAATGCTTTGTCATGCCAGCAAGAAGCAGACAACGATTTTAATGTTCCTTTGTATATAAGTAGAAATGCATTCATGAGTCAATTTCTGTGCGACGCACGCAAATATTCAAATATTTTGGAATTATTGTGGCACGTTCGAACGTGCCTGGCAGAGCAGTGTTGTGAAATGCCAGCTAGGAAGGCTGCCGATACATGCCCCAAGAAAAAAATAATTGTGTGTTTATAAAAGACAACCCCAAATATGCGGCTGCCTGCCATCATCATCAACGTCGTCAGCACTTCGGGTAGTTCCCAAATGTCAATGAACCGCACAAAAGAAACTGAGGCGCTGAAGCACTGAAGCTGCTCTGTCGGCATCGGCGTCATCATTAAGTACAACAACCCAAAAAAAAAATTAACAAGAGGCCCATGTCGTTGACATTTCAACGGGTCGCTGTCCCACACACATACACAAACACACATCTGCCATTTGTTTTGATTAACCGTTATATATTTATAAAGGGACGAAGAGAGGCCAAATCCCAGACAGACCCAGTCAAGAATTCAAATTAATAATGAAGAGGGGACATCAACTTTTATACACTCTACTCAAAGGATAACATATTTTATATATTATGAATTTATACTATTTAACATCTTTTATACACATTTACACTCATTTTAATATATTAGTGCTTATCTGTTAGAATTTTATCTCACAGATATGTTATCTAACAAACAATATTGCCAAAGACTGTAAACAAAAAGTTGATGAGTTTCAAACTTCGACTCAAGAGTCAGAGTATCCTTGATTCGGTTGCTAACATTTTCATGCGCTTCAAATGTCTGGCAGGATAATGAAATCAATATACGAAGCAGCCACAACAACAACTCTGGCGACTGCAGACACTGTCTGACCAAACAGATACATACATACATACACACAAAAATACATTTAGGCTGGCGGACAGACAGCAAAGAGAGGAGGAGAGAGCACAGAGCAGAGATGTGTTGTCAACTACCTGATGGAATGAAACATCGGTCGGTCAACAGACTTGACTGCGACAGAGACTGTGACCTTGACCGTTCGCCGTTGTAGGAGGTGGGTGGGTGGCTGGTAGATGGAACGCATTTTTAACTTTTGGCTTATTTGTGTCCTTCGGAAAATATCCCTCAATGTCGTAAACACCTTTGTCATTATGGAATATCGTCACAATAAATATGTACACAACTGCCTTTTGGGGTTTCAAAACTGTCCTACAATTTGTGCGGTTCCTTCCATCGATCAATCAATTCACACTCTAATACATACTTATACTATAGGTATGTATGCCTGTGTGTCTGTCTTGAAACGAATTCTAAAATTATATTTTTTTAATATTTATGGTGTTTCGATTTGCGATCGCTGTGTTTCGTTTTGTTGCAAAATGTCACCCGTTAATTGATTGTGTTTCTTCAACAAACCTACCTAACAACAGGAACAACAACACCTGCTAATTAACGCGAATGGACAACAACAATAGCAGAGCCAAAAAATATAGAAACAATGTTTGGCCAAAAAAAATTAGCAGCTTTACTTGTAAAGATATGCCTATAATAGAACTGCAAAGTAGTCGATAACAGGTCCATTCGATACTTATAGTACACACTTGATCGATAACATGGCTAGTATGTTTAGACTGCCAACGAAGTACTTTGGTTTGCTTGATACAGCAATTCAAATGAATAAGACAAATTATCACAAATGAGTTTAACTTTTTCAACTAAAAATAAATAATACAAGTGGTTTGTTTCCTAAAAGTATAGTATAGTTATGTATACTTGTACATATATGAAATTTTAGACATAGTGATTTGTACCTGTACCCGAAGAAAGAACACTCGATAAATGTCATAAATATCGGTGCACTATGTACTATACTTGTAGGAGCGATCTTTTAAGCATTCCATATATGTATGTATACTTGTACATACATATGTATGTACATATGTGTACATATGCAGATGCAAATTATGTTTATGAGCGCGTGACACGACATCACTGCCATGTGACACGCAGGCACAAAAACATAGCCATGTGATGGCTGCTCATGTATGTAAATACATGTATGTATGTAAATGTGAGAGTCATTGTCGTTGGGTGTTGCTGCTGTTGTGGTTGGCGATGTCTTGTAACCTTCAATACGTTTCAATTTCTTATCAATAGTTTTCCACACACGAACACACACACTCATACAAACATCTGTACATATGCATGTACATATGTATACATATTTATACACATACATATGTACATATTTGAGCGCGCTAATCAACTAAGCTAATATTTACATACACATGACATTATTCACTAAATTCATATGCATACATACATATGTACATACATAAGTAATCTGTTAATAGTATATATGTACATATGTACATAAAAGACATAAATACAACAATAACAACGCCAATTTGAAGTGCGCGTGTTTGCGTTGACGTCAGCAGGAAAAACAAGTATGTATTATAGACTGCAATTAAATGATTCGATGATGATGATGGTTGCAAAAGTAAAACTGCACACACACAAGCACGCGCACGTGACGAGCGAATTCCAAACATACAACACAAACTTTTTTAAAATTAACAAAATTTGTAATTAAGACATTTCATAGCCCGTATTGAGTGACTACGCAACAAATAACCCAGCTGGCCACTCCTAAAAATACCGCATTGCTTGCAGTTTTTTTTTTTTTTTTTTTTAAAAACACATTTCATTTCACACTTATTATTGGGATCAGAACAGTTAGCTGCTGTTAATTAACATTAATGTAAATGCTGATTGATGTTTCATTTGTTTTCCTATAAGATTATGTTATCTCTATGTTTTTGCCTCTCTCAACCTCTCCTTTTTTCTCTTTCTCTCTCTCTTACTTTGTATTGAAGATCTTGGCTTGCTGATATTTGGCTTTCTGCGATTCCGGGCATCATACAATAAGGTTTGTATTTTATTATATTCATTGCGCGTTTGATTTTTAATATTATTAGAAATTTATATACTGAAAATTATATTAGATTCATACTTTTTTGATTTCTAGTTTATGTCTCGACCACCCGAAATCGCTATTGAATTTAGTTAATTTTACAATATCCAGATTTGTTGAATCAGTGAGATCGTTTGGGAAGCGTTGCAAGAAGGCAGTTAACCTGAGTCTGCTGAGAGCTGGACAGTGACAGAGCAGGTGCTTCAACCTTTCCTCCTCTTCTTCATCACTGCAGATCTCTCCGTTGAACCCCCCCGCCTACCACCACCCACGCTCATTGCCCTAAATTTCGACGCCCTTTGGCTTAGCTGACACATTTTTAAAATGTGCCGTTCATTATTTGGTAGAGAACTGTTGTCATCGTTGCGCTGTCGGCGTCACTCTCTCACTCATTGGAATAATGTATGACACACTTCCGCGCAAGCAACAACAAAGCAACTACACTCTAGCAACAACAACCACAAACAAGCCAAATGTAAAAAGAGAGCTTTGTAGTAAAAAGGCGTGTAAGCGAATTCTGCTTAAATAAAGAAGGTAGACAAAAAAACGGGCAACTTGGCAAAATAAAATTCCAAACGGCATAAACAACAAATATTATGTATGTATGTATGTACATACGCATGAATGTATAAAGAAGAGAATTAAAATAACAACAAAGAAAGCGAGCAAACAGAAACAGAAAAAGGCAACTGAAGAAGTCCAACAATAATAACAGCACCAACAACAACAGTAAAGACGGGAAATAAACAGTTATGGCGAGCTTCAGCAGAAAGTAAAAGTCGAAATCAATGAAATTGTACTAGGTATGGGTGTGTGTACATATGTATGTATGTGTGTGATCCATTTGTGCATGGCATATAAAATGAAAATACCTATTTTTTTAAAAGTCAAACAAAACTATGTACATATATACTACTAGTTAAGTATGTATGTACATATATACTACTAGTTAAGTATGTATGTACATATGTACTATATATGCTCTTCTTGTTAAACTAAATAACTTTTTTTTAAATAATTCTTTTTTATAGGACTCTTAATAGGAAATGCAAGGATGTTGTTATTTTCCGTTATTTTCATTATTTTAAATAATTATATATATACATACATACATACAAGTATGTATGCGTATGTATGTATATACTTATTTTTATTATCAGGCACTGCTTTTTTCATTTCCTCATTAAATGTAAGGTTTATCTTGTAAAATGTTTTAATTAATACACTGACAAAAAATAAAAATGTATGTGGCAGTTATAAATAATCTATGTATGTATGTACATATGTACATACCTTTTGGAATACATTTCTCATTCTAATTAAAAGGTAAAATGTTTGATATGAAAAGTTAAAGGTTATCAACAAAAGTTGAGTTAAATCTACATATGTATGTATGTATGCATATTGTTATAACTTAGAAGATAACACTGACGAAGCAAGCAAAAATTTTGTAATATAATATGTTAGGGGGAGCTTTATGGGGGCATCTGTATCTCTACAACCCCAAAAAGTACGCAGTTTTGGTCAACAAATACTCATACACATACATATTGTTGAAAATCAATACAAACATAAGTACCAATGCACGCATGTTAATATAAGCAGATAATAATCTTATGTTATCTACAAGTTATCTGTCACTGTTGCATACGAATGTAAGCATAAAGAATATGTATAGCAAAAGTGTCAGTCTCCAATAAAACTCTAAAGCGAACAGACGCACGGCGGTCCGCGACTATTGTCTTTTACTTTACTCCTACTGAGCCCTTCCCTTTTCAGCGAATATA